AAACCATTTCAGGTGACTACCTCTTGAAGCTCATGGAGAGAATGCCAAGAGTGTGCAAAGCAGTAATCAGAGCAAAGGGTGGCTATTTTGAAGAAACTAGAATATAAAACATGTTTTCAGTTATTTCACCTTTTTTTGTTAAGTACATAACTCCACATGTGTTCATTCATAGTTTTGATGCCTTCAGTGAGAATCTACAATGTAAATAGTCATGAAAATAAAGAAAACGCATTGAATGAGAAGGTGTGTCCAAACTTTTGGCCTGTACTGTATATATATATATATATATATATATATATATAAAAGCATAATTATAAGGCTACGAAAACCAAACGAATTTTATTTTATAGCGATTATACACTTATATAAACATATTAATGGGTAGAATATTCAGATTCAGATTCAGATTTGACAATAAACCATGCCAAATATTACACACTGGCCCTTTAATTAAAGTCTGAATTCTTTCTTAATCTGTAACATGTTGGTCTGGAGGTTTAAATGTATCTCCTTTCACTTTCACCTGAGAAAACTGATCTGAGTTCAGACTGTTTATTTAGAGCACAGCTACACTCACAGATAACTGAGACACTCACCTGCCTGTCAAACAGCATCAAACCAGAAACCTTTTCAAGTCCAGATGGAGTGGAGTCCTGTAGGAGCAGATGTGAAGTCCAGCAGTCAGTGGCTGCTTGCTCCACTGCCATTCAGCAGAGCAACAATAAGCTAACAGGCGGAGCTAACTGCTAACAGCCACAACAGCTGTGACTAACAAACTCCACAGAATCATTCAACAGCTCCACCATCCACAGCAAGACACACACGGCTGCTTATTCACTGCTGAATTACAGGTCACAATACACACTAACAGCTGATGCTGCTCTGGTGTGAATGTTTTTGTTGGCTAGCGAAACATTCTGGTGCCGTGTATTTACTGTTTACCAGCCTGACACTCAGGCAGCATTTGAAGATAATTGCAAGCACAGCTGCTTAAAATGTCCAGTAGTCCACCACCAATATTTTCATCACATCTCGTCTCATCAACGAAAATGAAACACAAATTTTGTCTTAGTTTTTACTGTGAAGATCTATTTTTAGCTTGTCGTCATCTTGATTTCGCCATGTTTTTTTACATGATGAAATCGAGATGACGACGAGCTGTTGATAAAAAATTTTCGTCATAGTTTTTGTCAACAAAATTAACACTGGTTTTAAGTTATGTTGTTACCAAAGTTACAAAATCCACCATCTTCTAAAAGCCTCATGCTAACTACATCTTCACGTAGAATACCGACATTTAGTCATAAGGTATAGATAACAAAACCCAACGTTTGCAAAACACCATAATATTAATATCCACACAACGTGAAATTCTAACGTCGTTAGACATTTAATATATCATCAAACCAATTTTCATTCTGACCAAAATTATATAAAAAATTAAAATTATATATAATAAGTCTCTCCAGCATAAGAGACCGATGTTCTGATGTCCGGTGCCAGCAGGGAATGAGGTGATCACTGTTTGTATACACACACCAGCAGCAGAGAAGCAAAGAGTGCAGCACTAGGAAGAGTGTTAATGCTCCCAGAACATGATCTAACATGACACTGATCCAGCATTGATTCTGCTGATGCTGGAGTCTATACTCTATAGTATCTCTACTCTACTCTATAGTGTTGGAAATGTGAACATTTTAGTTCTTTTCCAAACTTTACCACTGAATGTTGCTTATTTAGTCATGGATATTAATGCTAAAGAGAAAACTTTAGATTTGAAACTAACTTTTCTAGAAGCCAAAAATCCAACAAAGTTCACCAAGTTTTTACAGCTTAGAATATTATATATTTTCTTTTTAATCAAATATGATTTTTGTATTACCAGTTCTTCCTTCTCGGCTCTATGAAGATGGCAATAATGGAAGTTCATCAGTACATTGGGATGGCGAGGGGGAAGGCTCAAGCTCGCTTTAAGGGCTGTATTGGGACAAATACAAAGGTTGAAGGAGGGATTTGTCAGGAGGAGCCTGGAAGGCCGCTACATAGGCTCTTGAGGCTGCTTAATGGGGCCCTTCTGGTCTCTCAAGGGCCTGGGGATTTTGCACCTGCTAAACACAAATCTACATTTTGTTTGTGGCCAGACAAAGTGTCATGTTCCTTTATGCAGCATTATTTATCTTACATAAATCGGAAAGGTTGTGCTTGTTTAAAACATTTAGTGGGATAAAGGACCACTCCCAAGTCTCAAGTCTCAATATTTTTTTTTTTTTTGGCTTAGGGGATCGGCATATACATTTAAATTGTTGTATTTTGTATTTATGTTACCGCAGATTTTTAAAGACTGCAGATTTACAGCATTCATCATAGACAAACTGTAAAAACAAAGATTATCGTTTGATTTTCAAATTTCAGATGGTGCTGGGACACATCATGTGCAATGAATGCTTCCATTAGGAAAAAAGACATAACCAAATCTGAGCTCAAATCCCTTTATTTTAAGTCTCATTTAAAATTTGGCCAAAAATAAAATGTCTGCAAGTACTAACCAGCATGCACGACAAGTGTTAGAAACTGAGGGTTTTCTCAAGTCCAGGATTTTGTCTTCAACTTTTAACTGTCAAACCTCAGGGTTAGTTTTGAAAATCTAATAACTAACCTACTGTATGGTTGAGGGAGGGTAATGCGTTTTCAGCCAATCATTTGGGGAGGCTCAAGGAAAAGTATTTGTAGCTTAGGGGAGGGTCAAAAAATAAAAAAAATGGAAAAGAAGTCTCTCCAGATTAAAAATCAAATCTCGGTCCTGTTTAAGACATGTATAATCTGTCCCCCTTTCTTAAAAATACTATTGCCTCCTTAACCGGTCATTTTATCCCATTCACCGCATTAAATAACAATGTTTAACTCCCTGATGAGTCCCCCACCCACCCATTTTTTTTTCCTTTATTTTATTTATTTTACTTACTCGTTTTTCTTTTATGCTGCCTTTTTTGGTTTTGGTTTGTTTATCTGTTTCTCTCCCCTTGTGACATTTTTTTCTTAGTTACAGCAAAACATGGTGATCTGTAAACATAGGCTATGTAAATGTTATCCTGCTTTAACAAAAAAAAAAATCTACAAGACAGTCATTTCCCTCTGAAAAGTGAAATTAGTACTTTATGCTGTTTAAATATTTGTGTTTTGTAGTAGCCTAATAGTCCAAAATAAATAAATAGGCTTAAGTTAAGTGTCCTTGCTTCAAAGTGCAGATGTAATATTGTAGCCTACTTTGTTACTTTCCATCCTTTCCTTTCCAAACAGAGTCATTTTGTGTCCAGTAGAAAGAGTCTTACCGTCAGTGTGTGACTCCAGTCTGCCATAGTTTGCTCTCTTGGCGCTGTGATGTTTCTTTACTAAGAAAGACCGCGGCATGTTGTCGCTGTCTTCACGGGAGTTGCTGCGGAGTGACGGTGCTCTACAGCCGCCGGTTAAAGGAAGCAGCTGACGGCGGTGGTGTGAGAGAGCTCGTTTGTGATTCACAACGGAGGGCGACTGTGTCTCTGTCCGCCTGTGGCCTCGCGCATTCCCCCGCTGGTCAGGTGCGAGCCAAGGGTCGCGCGGGGGAATTTCCATACACAACAGTGTTGAACCAATTACAATGAAAGGACAAGTGCAGGGGGCGGGCTCTGCGTGTCAATCAGCATACCCCAACAAAACAGGTGTATGAATGGTGATAGCTTCTCACTATAGAGGCACGGAGCACTTCACACTGCTGGAGCTGGAGCTGAATCTGGAGCTGCAGGCACACACTTGTTGGCCTGCAAAATCTTACCTTGGCTCAACAGCCTCAACATGAAACACAAATACACCACAGAGAGAAGAATTATCACTTGAGTGGGACACAAGCACACTAAGCTTGAGGTTTGCTGATTATATTTTGCATGGTAAATGTGGGACAATATAAAAATCAACAGCAAATCACAAAAGGGTATCTTGCATTTCTGCCTTTAATAAGAATGAAACAAAAGTAGTTTGACTAGGTCTATATGTAGGCTATTACCATAAGATCAGTATCAGTATTAACTGCAGAGATAGGCCTAGTTAAGAGCAGAGTCTGTTAGGACATTTTTGTATCAAACGGATACAGGTGTCTGCTAAAAATGTCAAGTAAAAAATCAAGTTGTTTTTTTTTTTTTTTACAGCCCAACCCAAACGTGAAAGGCACAATTTTGTAAAACGTACAAGGAGTGCATTTTCCCCAAAATTTTGCCTCCCTGAAACAGTTTGGACACTTTGTTCTGGGCTTAAAACCACAATTAAAATTGGAAAAAAAACACCTTTATATTTACAATGACACTTGTTCACACATTTCTCTGGAAAAAAATATCATTTTTAAAATTATGATATTTCTGCAAATTACTGAGTCATGGAATTTGGCTGTACTCCAAGTCTTGATTTCAGCTCATAGTGGTTACCATAGGCTACATTTAGCTTATAGGTTTATGTAGGCTACTGGCTTTGTTTTGTTTTGTAAAAATAAAAGAGGAAGAAGAAGAAGAAGAAGTTCACGCAGTAAACATTTATTCAGTGACTTCACAGTGAGTCTTATTTAATTAGGAAAAGCCTGTGTATTGTTTTTGTCTACTTTTTGTTCATTTGTAACAAGGTATGACCTACAGGCTAAGTAGCCTACTGTCCCAATCACCACTGGGTAACTCTCTCAACCGTTCCAGGGAGAGTAGACAGTAGACATGCTTTGGAGTCCTGTGCTAGCTACCAACAGATTCAGACAGCTAACGCTAGCACGAACTGATAGGCCAGAAAATCTGCTTTACAACATTATGTTTTTTGTATTTAGTAGAACTAAAAACAGTTTAGTTTAGTAGAAGAAAAATAACAAAAGAGCCAAAAAAATTTCTATAGATTTCAAAACTTCGAATAAATTATGACTTGAACTATGAAGCTGAAGGTGAAGAGGTGGTGAGTATGAGCATGGTGAATGGCATAAACATAGTAGCTCTCTAACTTGCTAAGAAAACACTATTTCACCTGTCCCCCTGTCCCAACTGAACCCGCTCTTGAATTTGCTTTAAATGCAAACTCCACCCATCCTCCATGTTTGGCTTGATAAATTCAGCATAATGTACCCTTTCACAGCACTAACGCTAACACCGCCACTAAATGAAAGAAGTAGAGGCAACTGGAATCCTACCCCATTTCCACCAAAATTAGCATGTGTGCACACGTTTTTAAAACACAAGTAAACCCACAAAAATAGACAATATAGACTCCTTTCCCATTGTACTTTCCCATTGCCAGTAGAACAGAGTATGCCTTTCTGTGTGTTTTTTTTTTTTTTTTTGGTGTGTCACATCCAGTGCTGGGTCTAAGGCGTTACCGCCAAAAATGGCTTTTTCCAGTAATGAGTTGTGTAAGGCACTACTGTCCCTAAATGCAGTAATCACATTACAGTTACTAATCAAACACTTAACTCGTTACTTGTGTTACATAAGTTCATCATTAGATCTTCCCTTTAGCTACTTAAGAGTTAGTGATGACGGGCTTCAGGCTGCTGCCAACAGGTCGTCCTCCGTGTCCAGCCGGTCAGCGGCGAACACAGATGTGGGGACGAACCAGAGGATGGGAGAGTTTCTGCCACAAACAAGCACCAAGACCCAGGGAGACATGGGAGCAGCTTCATGTGTTTACAGCAGATAGCAGGAGCGAGGACAGACGTCTCACTCCGCTACTCTGTGCTGCAACTTGAGTCTCACAGACACACACTTTCAGTTTATAATTGTAACATCCGTTATCCTACTAAATATTGATAACACGCTTAGTATTTTACAGATTCAAGTTTTTTTTTTATTTGATGAACGTGGCGCTGATATGCAAAAATGAACTAAATGACTGTGGGGCAGTGGGCAAGTAATATAATCATAACACCTTTACACACGGTAACCACCCCCCGCCTGGTCGGTGAAGATTCTCAGTCATGCATCCAGGTCATGGTAATCATAAGTGCTAGCTATATCATAGGCAACTGGACTTGCTTGCATTTCTTAAAGACATTTTGCCTCTCATCCAAGAAGCTTCTTCCGTTCTAAATGACTGATAAAGAACTGAAGAAGCTTCTTGGATGAGAGGCGAAACGTCTTCAAGAAACGCAAGCATTTCCAGTTGCCTACGATATAGCACTTACGAACACCCCCCGCCTGGCATAACAACTTCTCTGGCGGAAACCCTGCAAATACTTAAGGAGAGAAAGAGGGAAGTCTGCTTAGGGGCCTACCTTGTGAACCAGCTGTGCAATAAACAAGATGCTCTGGCCTTACACCTCATGCAACAGCCTAATAGCATAATGGATTTTAGTCATCGCTACAATTACACTGATGGGAGAAAACATATGCTTTTATACAAGTGAGGGGGCACAGTGAATGAAGTGGGGGACACTGCCCCCTGGTGCCCCCTCATGAAGCCGACTCTGGGTATATCCATCTAGTTAACTATACCTACATTAGGATTGTTACACATATGTAAGGTTTAATGCTATATCGTTAACTGGCAAATTACGCAACATTGCATTTCAAGCAATTTTACAGAGTAACTAGTAATGTAACAAGTATTGTAACTAATTACTTTCTCCAGGGAATAATCAAGTAAAGTAAGGGATTAGTTTTTCCCTAAGTAATGTGTAATGTGCAATACATTACATTTTTGAGTAATGACCCCAACACCCGTCACATCTACGTCACAGAAAGGCCGGAGAACAGGCAAACAGTAGACAACGTTAACGTTAGGTAGTTACTTCTTTTTATCTCTTACTTACTCAGTCTCTCTTTAAAACTCAGTGCAGACTAATTTTGATCGATGTTTGAGCGTTGCTTGGGCGAAGATGGACGATGTTTAGTGATGGCGCACCATTGCATCCTACCACTTAAAGGGCTGAAATTAGTGCCTTCACCCAGGTGTTGGGTTCCCATGAATGCCGATCGGAGCAGGAGGCGATAAATACCTGTGACTACTGCAGTCATTTGACCCGGGTATAAATGCTGATTAAAACCATTCCCATTGCATTACAAATGCAATGATGTTAGCAGGTGTTTTTAGTGGGTTTTTAGTGCAGTGGGAGAGGGGTTTTAGTGAATGAAAACAGCATTACTAACTCAGAGCAATAATAGCACTAATTACTTAACAGATAAAGTTTTAACTAAAAACAAAAACAAACAAAAAAGATGCACTTCTAAAGATTGAAATGAAGTGGTTCCCAACCTTTGCCTCTTGCCATATTTCAGATGCTTATGAAGAGTTAGCAGTTCTGCCACAATTTCCCCTTAAAACTTCTTACAGGGTTTCATTTAAACAACTGTTTGAGACTTGAAGATGTCTGAAGATTTAATATTTCACAAAAAAGCAAGAGAAAAGTCCTTTCTGCCCCTTCACTCTTTTCCTGCCCCCCACCTTATCTGGTGGCCCATTGGAGGGGCCCAACCCAGAGGTTTTGGAACCACCATCTAGCACTAAAAACAAGCTCCACTATGAGTAAGTATGTAAAACTTAAATTAAATCATCTATGAGCTACATTGTGTCCTCTTGATCTATTGTAGTGATGAGATTAATCTCTGGGAGTATGTGGTGAAATAGTCTGGTTTTCCAAATCCATCCATGGTGCAACAGTCTCTTTTAGAATGTCCTGATGACAGAACAAGTGTAATGTTTAAGATAAGGTACAGAAATCCTGCCTTCCTGTTTATAATGTCAACACTTTAGTTTTTGCTCTCATGTTAAAGATTTTAGACTTGTTTATGCACTCAATAGATATATTTCTGTCAAATTTTGGTCACAAATAAGTTAAAATCTGTGTAAGTGAGCACTTCTTCTCAAGATAATCCATCCACCTGAAAGGTGTGGCATATCAAGATGATGATTAAACCACATCATTACTACACAGGTGTGCCTTGGGATGGTCACAATAAAAGGCCACTTAAAATGTGGAGTTTGATCACACATTACGATGCTACAGATGTCCCAAGTTTCAAGGGAGCATGTTATTGAATACTTGACTGCAGGAATGTCCACCAGAGCTGTTGCCTGTGAATGGCCCACCACGCAATATTACTAATCATTTTTCCCCTCATCTCACAATGGCAGGACTATCATACAGTTTACAGACATGCATCAAGTAGGAACTACAAAGGTGGAACTCATTTTCATAATCAGATGGTAAACAAGCAAATGCACCAGTTACCCAACAACAAAGAGTTGACAGTGAGGACCACTTCTTTTAGGGGCAGTTAGGGATGTTACCACACAGAGTAAAAAGGAAAAATGATGGTGTGAAACAGCAGAGGCACTTTAGAAACCCAGCTGAGTACTGCCATTAGCATCAAGCTAGCAAACAATGTTATTTATTCATAATGGAGACGGACATAAAGTAAGAAAATTAAAAAATAGTGGCCTTGATAAAGTTAATGCATCGCACCGTCATTTTAAACTCAACATTTCCTGTATCTGTGTCAAATTAAAAGCCCATTTTAACTTAGGTTTAGAGAATCCCTTCATTTAAAAAAAAAAAAAAGGCTTTAATTGTGAAACATTTGT